TTGAATGTGGACAACTATTTTCTTTCCAACCCAACATATCAAAATGTAAGAGCCACTTTCTTTTGGAAAGTTGGTTTTACAAAAAAATAAATAAATAAATAAAAATAATGTAGTGGTGGTTGATTTGTGGTAAATGTTTGGCTTAATTTTTTTAATACACAAATAACATCAAAATTGAAATATTAATTAAAAATCTGTTTTATTTATCATAATTTGTTTTTAGTTTTACACTTCACTGCTGATGTCTTGAAATTGAAGCAATTTATTACATCAATTTCATCACAGACTGATGCATCTTGCTTGTATTAATGGTGTTACAGTAGTAAAAGACCAAATTATCATTCTGTTGAATTGAAGACCTGCTGAACAAAGTCCAAAGCAAAAACATGTCTGTCCCAACAACTCTCGGACATTTGGAAGTGAACAGTTTTTATATCACAGAATTGCACAGACCGAAATTTGCTTCATTACTATTATTTCTACTATATTTTTTATTATCTTCATTATCACTACTACAATTACTACCATAACTAGGTTGACTATTATTGCAGTATCAAAGAAAAAGACTATAAATTTTCCATGCTACCCTTTAAATCTTGGCAAAGCTGTTAAGTTTTAAATGGAATGTAAAAAATAAAATCTTTTAGAATGTCATAAGACTCACTGTTTGACCAAAAATGTTGTAATACAAGATAATAATACCTAATAACAAAAATGAAGGCCAAAGTTTTTATATCCATAATAGTTTGCACATCTGACCAATTGTACTTTTTGTCATTTTCACCTCATGCTGATATACAAAAAAAATGTAACTGTTTCTTAATATTAGTCCATATCTATAATTTTTTTTTTCTAGAATGACATAAGAAAGTGTTCATTAACATTTAGAGAAAAACATTTTAAAATCACTTTTTGTAAGAATTGAGAGATTTCAATAAAAATGTTTTGTAAGGAAAAACAATAGTTTTGCAATTCAAATGGTATGTGTTTGTATATAAGAGAAAAATATGTTGCAGAATTTAGAACTTAATTATGGATTCTTAAATTAAAACTACAACAAAAACAAACCCCAATATTTGAAATAATTGTTACAAAAGTTTCTAAAAATTAAATTTAAATTTTTATAATGGAAAAAATCTTCCTTTTAGGCATAGAAATTGATAGCCATTAGTAGAAGCAGTAAACAAGTAAAGAATAATTTTTTTTAAAATAAAAAATTTTATTTTTGGAAAAAAAAAAAAAAATTAAAAGTACAATATTAAAACATTTTAAAAATGAAAAATCAAAATTAAAAGGTATTTAACATTTGTGGTGAAATTTTTAATTAAAAAAGTTAAGACTAAGGTTAAATTTTAATCCTACAAAAAGAAAAAAAAGGAAAAAATTGCAGAAAATTAAATAATGCTATGAGTATTATCACCACTTGGACTACCATAAATATCTCTCTTTTGCAAGAGAGAATAACTATGTCTCACAAATGAGACAGACAGATGAACCAAATAAAGAAATGAACATGGGGAGTATATCTTAAGACAGATTGGCAATGCAATCTATCTATGAAGCAAGTAATAATCTAACTTATCTTTTAGTCCAGGATTTCAGGGCTGTAATTTTAGTTTTGGTTTTATTTTTTTGTACCTCCTTTCCCCCGACAATGTGTGAGTGAATGGAGATATTTCAAGCAATATGATAACTGGCCAAACCAGAGAAAGAATAAAAAGTGGGTAAAAATGGCAACATTTGCTGAAAAATGCATCACAAATGAACAGTATGTGAGTGAGAGGAGACAGTTATCCAAGATTTAGAAAAGGCAACAATTAGGCTACCAAAATAATATTTAAAAAAAAAAAAAAAATGAGATCTTTGTTTCCTTATAGAAAACCAAACAGAACAAAATAACAAAAGAGAAAAATCAAATAATTGTCTAGCTTTCCTCCAGTTGAAAATAATTCAACCTGAACATGTGGACAATGTATATTAAAGATTATATGCAAAAGATTTTTTTTTTTATTTGACAACTTTTAAAAACAGAACCAAATTTATGTTATCTTTCTGCTGACTTCAAGAAACTATTCAAACATTCATGATTTATCAACTGCCTCAGTCAACTCGTAAATAGCTTGAAGCTTTTAAGATGCCTCTCTTTGGAGCTGAACATTGAGATTGTATTTGTGGGCATTGGTTTAGTTTATTAAATCTCTCGCCACACATATGAAATATGCAAACCTTTCTGAACTCAGAGGCAAACATTTAAGTATACTTATAAAATATTTCAAAATGAGAGAATCAAATTTTATTAAAAAAATAAAAAATAATGAAGTTTTATTTTTTAAACTATTTTAAATATGATAAAAACATGATAGGAGAAAAAATAGACAAAACAATCTTTTTACTTATCACAATCTGGCTTTGGTTAAGACAAGTGCAAAAACAGCCATGTTGGTAACCTCAAATGAAGGATATCATCTTTTGAATATACTGACCAACAACAGCCAAATTCAAGACCTGTTTTCCCATAAAAACCTGATCTGCACTAAGTATAGCAAGGGTGGATAGGAAGCAGTCAGCAGAGAAGAAACTGATTTAAGTTGTACTTCTCTACTTTGGCTGATACAATTAATCAGCACTTTGAATGACCAAGTATTAAAAAATATTAAAAAATAAAATTAATAAAAAAAACAAAACAAAAATCATTTACATACAATTTCATTACTGTCCTTACATTATTTGCTGTCCTTTATTTCTAGGGTAAAAGGATCAAAATACCCTCATCTTACATTTAAAAATTGTTACTACTTTACAGAAAAATAATTACACAATTGTAAATATATATTTGCATTGAAAAAAATTTGTTAAAAGATAAAGCCATAAATAAAGCATCATGATTTAACTATTAATGTTTAATTTTTTTTCATCAACTAGTTTCAGGTTTGCATAAGCCACAATGATAAGATTAACAATTTAGTTCTTGAAATTCCAGTTTATATATTTGTAAAGAATGCCCATGTTTTTATTTTTATTTTTTAATTCTTTTATTCACAGCATCATGTCTTTGGAAAAGCAAAAACCAAATATACTTGCAAAAAATATTTTTCAATAAGTAAAAATAGGAAATAAAAATGACTTAAAACTTCATTTATACTTTTGTTTTTAGTACTGAAAAGACAGTTTCTAACACTGTAAAGATTTGTTATTAGCACCAAAGGAAATTATTTTCCAAGCATTAAAAATTTGCCAAAAGAAATGATCATATTAAAACTAAATATATTGTAAAAAAAAAAAAAAAAAAAAAAAATAATTATACAAAATGACAGGTTTAATGACCAAAAATAAAACAGCACCTAATTCTATGTAAAGAGTTCCCTAACATATAGTTTCACAGAAAATAATGGGAGAAACAGCCTTATTTTTACTGAAGAGTAGAAATGTTTGCTTGTTATTTAGGCTAATTTAACTTTGTTAATTCAAACTTATTAATAAAGAAAATTATTAAAACTTTTTGTTTGAAAATAAATATACCAAAAATTAAACTTATCAATATTGAAATAAGAAACTGAGTGGAGAATTTTTTTGTATTAAAAGCTGTTTGAATCATTTTTGATCAGCGGATAAAATTCTAATAGAAACTGGCCATTGCTTGTGTGTACATAAAAATATTTTTCCTTCAAAAAATAAAAAATAAATAAATAAAATAAAACAAATTTAAAAATTTTGATCCATGAAAAACAAAAAACCCTTTTGCCACTTTTATAAAACAAGAAACAGAAAAACATTGCATCCACATATATGTGTACATGCACATAATGGAAACTAATTGTGGCAGTTAAAGGGTTAAATGCAAAGAATTCAAGGAAGATTGTTTCTAATTTTTAATTCACTTCTTCCTTAATTTAATGAGCTATTTCTTTTCATTACACTTTTAGTTTTTGGCAATGAAAATGCTTTCAAGATTTCTAAACTTAATTCACATTTTTCTTTTTCATAACTTAAGTCACTTTGGTATTATTTCCCATAAAGATTTGACAGTATTTTAACATCTTTTCCTTCAGCTAAAATAGGATTTGGGGATGCTGGGATTAAGTTTGATGAAAAGAAGGAATTTCAGAAAACCAAAGCAGAATTTCTTTAACATCTCTAAATTTTCTTTGTAATTAAAAAATGTATAAAGAAAATAGGATAAAATTTTCAAATATGGAAACTCCTTACCAACTAGAACACTATACCTCTCCATTCATGAAGTCTTATGAAATGGTTTAATTTTCTAGAACATAAAGATTCTATTCCAAAGACTTGGGCTAAAAAAATTTTTAAATTTTTCTTGCCACAGAAGATAATGAAAAAAGTACAATGATAAAGACAAAATTAAGTTCTTGAAATTTCTGTATTTAAAAAAAAAAAAAAAAGAACCAATGCAGACAATAAAAATAAGTAGGAAGCAATTTGGAAAATAAATTTTCAAAAAATTTCAGCAGAGTCTCAATTTGTTTTTAAAAATGTTAAATTATTTGTTACATATCTTTTTAGTCTTTGTCTTTATATCCTTGGAATACATATTTAAGAAAATTTATATTTGTTTCTTGCTTTTAAGACAAATTAAAAGTTCAAACAAAAATGTGTAACAGAAAGCCTAGTTAATAAATAAAAGAAAAAAAAAAGAAAAAGTTCATTTGCTTTCTTTTCTTCTTTCAAAAAAATTCATCATCTTACCAACGAGTAACTTTGAGGAATGAGTTTTAAAATAATTGTGTAGATTGGCAGTTATTTCAACTGCATCCAGGAGGGAAACCTTGAAATGTGGACTAATCAACACAGAATCTGTTGTCCTTTCCACAGAATAGCCAGCACTGTTAGCAAAGTATGCCAACATTTTTGTAGGTGAATTCAGCACTTCCCCCCCCGACCCATTTTCTTCATAAAATCGTTGGCCTGGAAGGGCAAAAATGTTCACAGCTCAATTCTGATTGACAGCAGTCATCACTACTGTAGTTGCAAGAGCAGCCCTACAACAGACGTGAAGGGCGAGTTATACTTATATCACCAGTGTTGAGTCGTGGTCGAGGTAGGTCCCCAAAAATAAATCCTTCATCTTTCCGAAGACTTTCTGCTAAAGCTCTCATGCTAGCAGCCATTTCTTGGGGGTCATGAGGTGGGGGGCTCTGTAGGAAAATAAAAAAGAAAATATTTCAAATAATGGAAGAAATTTCATCCTAACTCTTTGGTAAAATATAGTAATTTAAAAAAAAAAATTAACACTTTTTTAATAAACCCCTTATATTGTCATGTCAAGCAATCATAAAATACTGCTATTATATAAAGCAAAAAACAATTTTCAAGAAACATATTTAATATTTTTAGTACAAACATTTTTTGTGCCTAATAGGTAAAGTAACAAAAGCACCAATTATAGTTCTTTGACACTTGTTAGTAAAGTTTTTTCTTTAAAGGAAAAAAAATTAAAATATTTGATATGTTCTGATAGATCAAATAATCATGTTCTTTAATTGAAACCCTTTTTTTTATGAGCATAGAAATATAAGAACTACTCAATGTAATAAGATGCTATTGCTTGTGTTTAGAATTGATCAAGTAAAAAAAAAAAAACAAAAAAAACGCTCTTACAACCAAGAATATAACTACTGACTGAAGTTTATAAAGTTTATAAATTGACCACACAAAATCTTTGAAACCTTCAGTGTGCCATCATAAAATGTGTCTGAAGTACACTATTTTTAGTTTTGTTATAGGATTTTTTTAGTTTAATATAATCTTTATCACTAAATCCATCAACTCCATTGAAATTATGTTTTGACATTTTAAAACATTAATTTAGGATACATTCCATTAAATATTAATGAGAAATATATAAATATATTTGTACAAAATAGTTAAAATTTAAAAATATCAGTAAATAAGTCTTTATTTTTTTTTTTTTTTTAATATTTTGTTTATAAGAAAATGGTGAACAATTTCTAATCACCAACAAAGAAACTAATCTGATGCTACCTTAAGGGAGATAACCAAAATACTACAATGTTCTCTGCCAAGAATTCAAGGCTATAAAATTATGCTTAAAGATGTGGGCTTATATTAGTAAAAACCTTACTAATAGCAAAAAAGAAATCTTACAAATCATCTTAGATACTTACAAAGTCATCTTTTTCTGCTGCAGAAGAATTAAACATAGCTTGATTGATTCTGGGAACATTGACTGGCACTGAAGAAGATATCATCATTTCTTTGTTCAAGTTCTTTTGGGTATTTTTAGGTGGATATGAAGGAAATGCCACCTCTGTGGAGGAATCAAGGGCTGTAAAAATACGAAAAAAAAACATTTCATCATCTGATCCATGCTCACACACATGAGACTCCTGTCAACACTAATGGGTTTAACAACTTTATACAGTTATTACCGAGTAATAGTTATAGAACAGGGATTTGTTAAAGAGCTGACTCATCCACATTCTTCCACAACATATCATGCCAAAAACAAAGCATTTCTTTTACAAAAATATTTGACAATTGGTCATCATGCAAGGGAAATAGATTCACAGCTTTCCCAAGGTGATTAGTGCTAAGTGAACATGAAACAGCTTTTCCAGTTCTGTTTCCTGTGCTGATAACCGTTATGTAATGCATATATCACAAATTAATAAGACATTTTATTTACTCTATTAATATATTTCAGAATATTTTTCAATATATATATATATATATATATATATATATATATATAATGCTTAAGCTTAAGGATGTTCATCATTGGTGATGACAATAATGTCCCTCCATCTCTGTTGGCTGAATATATATCTTATGATCTGAAATCATCTTAGATACTAAGTACTATTTACTTATTTTTCATGAGCTAAATATTTCTTATTATTTACATATATAATCTTCTAACTCATAATCATCTTATTTTCCAGGAAATTTTTATAGCATAGATTAAAATCGATGTAAAATTACAAATTTGCCTACACAAAATTATTATGCCTTTCACTTTAGAACATTTAAATTAGAATCTGAATTGAACTAATAACTTTAGAATTAAAAGAAAAAATACAAAATAGAATAGAAAAATGTGTGATTAATGAGATTTGACTTTGGAATAAATAAGTTTTTAATATTATATAAGTACCTCAAAAAAAAAAAAAAAAAAAAAAATCTTTCTTAGAGCTTTCATTTTTTTTTTTAGTTATAATTTCAAGCTAATAGATTAAATTTAATATTTCCAGTAAATAAAATACTAAAAAAAAAAAACTAATTTAAATTGATTGGAAGAATGTTTTTGTTTCTTTTGCTAAAATAGCTGATTATCGCTCCTTTTTGTCATCTTTCAGTGCAATATAATTCTCTTTATTAAAAAATATTCCAAAAATAAAATATACTTTTCTAAAAATTTATTTAAGGAATATTAGCAATTTGATTTGAAACAATTATTATTTAATATAAGTTTAAAATATGCCAAAAATGAATTTTTTTTAACCCAACAGTAGCTGTTTATTTAAGGTGTTTGTTGGTTCGAGCTTGATGACAGATTGATTTCCTTCTAAATATATATATATATATATATATATATATATATATATATATATATATAAAGTACTCAGTAATCTTAAAAATTCAAGAAAATACTCTCTGTAATCTAATGTTTTATTGAATTTTAAATAATTTTTGGCTGTAAATTTACTATAGTTATTGCTCTTATTTTCTGATAATGTCATGTTATAATAGAAAAATTGACATGTTTATACATATAAAAAACAAATTCAAAATCCTTTTTTAAAATATTGGTGAGTGATGATTTGTACTTAGTTTTCCAATTTATGATTAGTAAGTAGAGTTTTTACTTAATAAGAATATCACCTAACCCATACAGAAATTTAAAAGATTTAAAACTTTAAATTATTCTAATTAAAATTTTAAAAAAAGAAAAAATTCATTATTCATTGAAAAAAATTTTTCTTAAGACAATAGAGTCCATAATATATCTTATTCATAACAACAATTAAAAGCATTTCTATTTAAATAATTAATTAGTTTGATTGCATTTTTATTTTATGATTCAGAACAGGTTTTTGGTAAATGATCTACTATTTGGGGAAAAAAAAAAATTGATGATTTATATTCTCCAAGTAGTCCCTGCTTTTAATATAAATATTAATTGGGAAACAATTTCTCAAAACATAATTTACAAAATAATTTTATTCAAGTGAAAAGTTTCATTAAAATCTAACAATTACTTGATTTTACAAGAAATTCCAATTTACTGGAAAAAAGACTAAATTTCCTAATACTAATCTTTATTGTTCCAACTGATGCAAGAAAAACAAGATTTTTAACCAAAATTTCGAATGTTCTAAAAAAGGATTAAAAAATTTAATAAAATAATCAAAAAATACTTTGGTCTTCCCTCTTAATAATATGCTCTTTTTTTTCAGCAAATTATTGGAGGTACCTAGACTATTATATATTTGATGACTTAAAGCTGGCTGACTGAAGTTTATCCCATATAAATTAAACTATGTGGAACAGGTTTCTAACTTCAATGGGATTCAGTTCAGCCTTTTATTTAAATATTCACCCAGAGATGGAAGTTTGTAGAATCATTGCTAACTTACCAAAATCATCGTCATCGGAGAAATAGAAAGGTTCAGAGTCGTCTCCCCTGTCATCACCACTCATGTAAAACATTCCTACAAGGAAATGAAAAACGTTTTGCTGAAGATGAATCTAACAAATTAAAAACTGGAAGCCTTTATTAATACAAAAATATATTTTTAAAAAGACATTAAAAGATTTTGAGAAAAAATTGAAATTTTTAAACTCTGGGACATTGTCAGATACTAGTGTTTTTAGAATTCAATTTCTTGAAAATATGATCCTTCATGCTTGTTTCACGGTCAGACTTCTTTTGTTGGAAACCTGTATTACTTCTGGCCAGCCTGAATACGAATCTACCAGTATTAGTAATAATCCCACTCTATTAACATGGGCATGATCCATGTGTACTGTCCCAAGGTTGGGACTCTTTAGGCCATGTATGTGTTTTTGTCTATCTAAATTTTTTTCTTTCACTGCACATTTTATACCATTTTATATATTCTACATCTGTAGAATAGCCTGGCCACAATACCTCTAGCTTTAATCTCCTTTGCGTAGATGTTAATTCTGCAATGAACATATTGTCATATATGCTCTTTATAATTTTGCTCCTTTGCATTGCTGGTGGAACCACTACATCTCCATTAAAAATTACACCCTTTTCTACAGTTAACTTGTGTTTAAAGCCTTTAAAATACCTTTCTGCCCATAAGCAATTATTCCAATTATTTTTTATCCTGAACTGTTTAAAATGGGATCTTGCTTCCTATACTCAGCTAATCTGTATATCAACAAAATATCAGTTTCAACCCAATATAAGAATATCTTCAAATTTTTCTTCCTCTTTCTCACTTTCAGACTTAATGAACCTCAATCTTGACAAAGTGTCTACATGCAGAATGGTATTGCCTTTAACATACTCAATATCAAAGTCAAACACCATTAACATGAAGACCCATCTTAGAATTCTAGAAGACGTTAGGAAGTTCCTTCCTAGGATTAAACATGAATTCAAAAGGACAATTATTGGTAGTAAATGGACTGGCAGTTTTCGTGCTTAAAAATTTGATGGGGAAACATTTCCCTTTAGTCTTAACTTTGCTTTATAGTTTTTTAACATTCCAGTTTCTTCCACCTTGACTTTGTTTACTAATTTTGTCAAATTTATGTTCAATACATCATTTGCTATGAGACCATAATTCTTTTTAGTTTGCCACAATAATTGGTAATATGTCAAACTTATTTTTTAGTTCCACGTAGGCTTCAAAACAGCCTAACGTTTTTATCATGGATCTGTCAAACTGATTCAATTGAACAAAGCTTTTCTTTCATCTTGGTTTTTCTAATTTCTTCCAGAAATTTCTGGGTATCAATGTCACATCACTTCCTGTAACTAGTTGCATATCCAATTAAACATTACTGATTTAAATTTTTAATAACCCTTTTTCATTTCATTTTTTTTCAATGTAAAGACATCCATTCTTATTTCTTCTTCATTTAGTTGGGCCGTCTCTAATTATTTTTTTTTTGGATTTACACATACGTTTAAAATAATTCATTTTGAAACACTTTCCACATCTTTTGTTTTATGTCAGGTATTTTTATTTTTCTCTTTGATGTTGATAAACACAAAAAGTGCACATTATTCTGTCTTTTTTCTTTATTGCATCTGTGTCCATTTCCTCTAACAGATCTGTAACTTGTGTTCTATTAAATTTTTAAATTTATTCTTGTTGCTGAACAAATTCAACACACTGTTCTAGCAACAACTTTCCCAGTTGTAAATGTATTAGAGTTATTTGCCAATATTCTTCATTTTGAAGACCATTTACCAGTTTCATTTGAATCAGATCCTTTTCAACTGACTGGTTTCGTGATACCAGTTTCTCAAATTCACAATATTTAGTGGACTATTTTAAATGAAGAACATATTCAATAACTGGTTCATTCATTTTTTGAGAAATATTCATGAACTTAGCTTTCTCTATTCAGCTATATGAAAACACCACTTTGGTTTTAAGAGAAAAAAAAAAAGGAAAATTTCTTTATTTAGTTCAGTGCTTTGTCTCAGAAGCAAACAAAAATGCATTTATTTTCGGAGTATGACAGTTTTCAGAAAGGAAAACAGGTGTTTTTTTTTTTTAAAGAAAGAACACAACAATATCTATGTATGCTAGTAGCATTAAATTGAACACGATTCCAGAGAAAGTGATGTAGGTTAGAATTTCAACCAAAGTGTTTGATTTTTATCTGAGGATTTTATTGGTAAAATGAACGTGAAAATATATATAATATCTGTTTATCTTTACAACTAAAACATAACATTTCTAATTTCTTTAAATTCAACAATAATGACTTAACTGTAATATTATTTAGGTATAAGCAACATTGATTTACGATATTTAGAAACTTATTGATTTATTTTTAAAAAAGACTTTGAAAAAAAATTTCACAAATCTGAACTCACCATCTGACTCCAAGTCAAATTCTCCTGAAGTAGTGGCTAATAATTGTTTCTCAGAACCAGTTGATTCTGATTTAGAATGAAAATCATTCTGAAAATAAAAGAAATCGATACCACTTCATATGCAAAATAAGATTATATACATAAAGGTGAACTCACATATGAGGAATACTGAAATGTTCTTCACCTGACCAAGAAATCTTTCCCAAAGAAATTCTAATGTTTTGTTATTTGATCAAATGTTGGGAAGTGGGGTTGGACCAAGAACTTTTCAGTATCTCCTTATAGATAATGCAATAACAAAGAAATAGTTCTATCTTAGTGTGCAGTAAAAATATTAAGGTAAGAACACTACATTTGATAAAATAATGGCTGAAAAAGTAACTAATAATTTTTAGTTTGTGTTGAAAAGGCTAGCATATTAAATGGATTTTGCGCTTTGTATAAATACAGAATTTTCAGAAGTGTTATAGCATTAAAGTTAAACTGTTTGATTTCATAATTATTTTATGGCATTGATGTAAAAAAAAAAAATAAAAAAAAATAAAATATGTAGGAAAATAAACTTAGCAATTTCACCAATAGTCATAATTCAGTCATATCAGCCACACTTCAAGCTTTGTAATATTCAAAATTACTGATTATTTACTTATTTTTATTTACTTAACTATGTTTTTAAATATGATTTATTTTTATTCTCTATTATTAATTGCAAATAAATATCAAACCTGTTTGTACTAAAACCATAATAGCATTTAAGCAATTAAAAATTAAAACATTACAACATTTAATTGCCCAATTATTTATATTTTTATAAAAGTATTTATGTAAATTATTAAATTACTAAAATTATTGTAATATTCAAAATTACTGATTATTTATTTTTTAATTATATAAATAATAAATAAATAAAATAAATAAATAAGTAAATAAACAGTGAATTTGTATATTACAGTAATTTTCATAATGTAATATCTAATCAGGTTTGATATTTTTTTTGAGTCTATAAGAAAAATAACACAAAATAATAAATTAAATAAAAATGAATAATTGATAATTTTTAATATTATGAGACTTAAGCATGTCTATTATTCTGAATGATGACTGTTAGTGCATATGCAGAGTTTATTTTCTTGAAATCTTTTTTTACATTAATACCAGAAATTGTAAGTATAAAACTGAACCATTTAACTTTAATGTTGTCATGTGATAATGTTTTTTTTTTTTTTTTTAGCATAAAACAATTTTTAAATTTGTTTGGAGTCTATGATTAGAATTTCTTTTTATATAGTGTATATAAATATATCTATAACACAATGCAATAGATTTATCTGACCCTGACAAGTGATTTATACACAAAACTTATATACATGAAAGTCAGTTGCAAAAGTAACTCCTTTCAACTAGTGGTGTTAACAGATTAACACTACTGCCATTAAATTTTAATAATATTTTCCATTTGGAAAAGAAAAACTAAGTAGGATTTGGGTAAACTATCTAAGCCAAGTGTAACTACTGTAATTTTTTTGAGAAAAAGTAAAGAACAAAAGCAAGAAAAATTTTTTTTCCTAAATATGGCAACATAGCAGGAAGATATATCATTATTAGATCAAACAATATATCTCCAGTAATCATTTAAATAATAATCTTAGTAATAGTGATTATGGGGATTATAAGGACAAAAAATCTATGTTACCTTAATTTCACTAGGTGTGGACGGTAACTCAGAACTTTGATAACCCGATGCACAACCTGCAAAAAAAAAAAAAAAAAAAAAAAAAAAGAAAAAAAGTGTATTTTACATTAAATTAGTATTATACTAAAAAAAAGAAAGAAAAAAAACAATTAATTTATTTCCTTTAATCATTTTATTAAGGCAAAATTTAAAACTAATTCAAATGGAAAGTAGAATCCAAATTTGGGAAAAAATTAAGTATCTAATTCAGCATTAATATTTTGCTCTTAAAAATTTAATTTATATTTCAGTTTTCAGACAATATAAAAATTCTAAATCTTTAGCAAAACTGAAGATAAGATTAATTTACTGTTTATTCTTAGAAATAATCAGAAATGACATGAGAAGTAACCAAATCTTGTAACATGATTAACTTGTTGCCTCTCAACAAAGTCATTAAGTATTTCTGAAAATTCACTCTTAATCAGTTGAGATTATTTTAAAACCAAGTATAACAAAAAGGGTCTGTGCTGCAGACGATTAATACTATGCTTTAGTTGACTTATACCAAATAATTTAATACTTGATAATTTCCAATTAAAATAATAAAACGGCAGTAAGCATCATTCAGTAACAAGAACACTTTCATTCAGAAATATTAAATAAATGGTTAAAAAAATAAGGGTACATTTTATTTGTTTTGTACATGTAGATGGACATTTATCTAGACTTGTACACTGATGGTTTATATTTTATATCAAAATTTATGTAGTCCCTAAGTGAATAAAGGTGATAAAGAAATTTAGCAATTAAATAAATCTTTCTTTTATTATAGCTACTTATTACTGATAGACCAATGAATTATTAGCCACAAATAATATCAGAGTGGTTTATTATGTGACAAAAAGTGTAAGATGAAAAGCATAAGACTTACTATTCTCGCTTTTATCTACTTCAACTTCTTTTTCAGCATTTATTGCATCCATCACTGATAGAAGCATACTGTAAAGATGAAAGACAACATGAAAAGAACAGTTTTAGTTAAAGTTAGATAAGTGTCCTTTCTTTTTCTTTCAACATGAAAATCACTTAGAAGAAAAAAAAAATGAGTATTTAAATAAATCATATGAGATTTCATGCTTCACTTGTAAATTCTGAATACTCGAGTATTTTGATTAAGATCAGATCAACTAGAAGTAACCTGATGAAAGATAAGTCTAAGAAAATACTCACGTAATTAACTTTTTCTTGTCTTCTTTTGCACGTTCTTGAACTTCTTCAAACATTGCTTTTTGTTGGGTTTCATATTTTCTAAAATAGATTTAAGCCAGATTTAAATTAGATGATGAAAAGTCAGTCATTGATGACAAGTTGATTTCATTTCCTGCAAATGCTTGTTTTTTAAGCTATAAAAAAATTTATAAGGAAAAACAATTTTTCAAAAATTCATTATCTTCATTTAATCCTTTAAACAACTTTCTATTTGTAAATAGAAAATATCTATTTCAGCATTTTTAATTTATTTTGCATATTTTTGAAAATTTTAGCTGTATTTCTGAAAACTTATAACTTAAAATTAAAGACTAATATAAACTATGCTTTATCATCCTCACAAATGTGACTTGTAATTTTTTTGAGTATACATATGTTTGTATACAGATAGAGAAAGTTGCAACAATGTAATGATCAAATCACAAATTTATTATCAATCTTTGTTTATATTTAATTATATTCATTTATTTATAAGTCACTGTTACTGTATGCATATCTAGTGAGAAAATATTTAACCAAGTACTGTTTACATAGTTGAGTTTTTCTTTTTAGACTATAGAAAATTTTTCAATCACTTATAGTGATCTATACAGTCAACAATAACAAACCTAATTGTGAGGAAATGAAGAAAGCTAAATAAAGCATCACTTCACATTGAAGCTGAACTTTTGAAAATAGCATACACACTCTCTGAATTTAAAAATAAGTTTCTAAATTTCATGAAGGAAGTTAAGAATCAGAAGCACATCCCAAAAATGTTGGGTTTATCATGTATTAATACACTATGGAAACAAAAATGAACACCTCAAGAGCCTCACACATACAGAGGTATATCAATGTGTCAAAGTTGTCTGGAGGCCATGGTTGAAGCCAATGGCGATTTTATTGAATAAATTTACTCTTTAGTATTTCAGCATTTGTGTGAATTTCGATAAGCATATCTGTTAAAATGTTGATGTTAGTGTTATTTTCATTTTTGCAAAATTTAAACGACAATTTATCCATCGCACCATGTACTCAACTATTTTGATAAATAAAATATTTTCCAACACTAACCTAATTCGTTCTTCCATTTCATTTTCTTCCTCCATCATGTACGTATCCATCTGTGTTTGCAATGTGCTCAGTTGATTTTGCAGAGATTCAAAATACTGTGGAGCTGCAACCAAAGACAAAGAATTGAGTATGTGAAACAGAATTAAATATAGTCACAAAAATAAGTAAATTTGAAAACTAATGCAATCACTATTAATAATTGATAATCTTGTTCAGAAGAACACATTCTATGTAAAAACTTGCTTTTGTTGATTTGAGGCAATGCCCATCCATTAAAGTGAATCTTTCTCACTTTTTGGTTTTATCTATTTTCATGATCAAAATGATTGAATATGCCATTACTTATTACTCCCTAAATATCCAACATTTCTTTCCTTCTCTACTGCTGATATTAACAACATTCACTGATTGCTTGCATCTTGTCAATTTTTCTTTTTAGATTTAAATACAAATGTATATCACAAATTTCCCTGAAACTTTACCATTGTATTCAGGATTTTAAAAATCTCAATGTATAATAGATCTGTTTACTAACAAGCTTTATTGCCAAATAAGTTGGATAACTATATAAAAGGCTAGATATCAATGCATGTTTATTAAAACAGTTGTCAGACACCAGTTTTGCAGTTATAAATAATAGCTATTCACCATTTTTGAAACTAAACATTTAGTCTTTTTTTTTTTTTTTTTTTAATGCTCACTGGCATTGTTGTTGCAAACCAAAAACTGGAAGAAATAGTTTTATAGAACATAAATTGAACAATTCTTTTTCTATTGTTATTCATATTTCTCTTGTTAAATATACCACTTTGGCTTTGTGTATATAACAGATGATTTTGGAGTTTGGGAGCAAAACTTCAATAAAGACTTTAACACTGCCATTAAAACAGCGGATTTCTTTATATATCAATTCTTTATATAATCAAATAGAAACATTCTCAAGGGAGAATACTTAAGTATGATGTTCACAATAGAAAATTGCCATGGTGAAAAAAATTGATTACATCTTACAAATCTAAAAAGGGAACAAAATAAAAAAATTAAATTAATACTAATATTCATACCATATGATTGTAAATCAGTTAAACCCAAATGGTCTTCAGTAAGCAAAGATGAACATAAAAATAGTAGTTCATAGACAATTTAAAATATTCCATCAAAAATAAGTTTAATTTGAATTTAATTGCATTTATTGAAATTTGTTGATAATTTTGTTAATACGTACCAGGCATAGTGCCTGTGAATGGTACATCTGTGTTGAGTACAATTTGAAAGGCTGGTGAGAAAGCAGTTGACCGCCTCAAACGTTCCAAAACAGTTGCATCTTTCTGTAATAAAAAAAAAAAAGAAAAAAAAAAGAAAAAGATTTTTTAATTGTGCAGGTATTTAAAACATAAATGCTTTTTAAAACAAAATCTTTGGTGAATACCATAATTACTTTATATAATTATAGCAAAATGTTTACTTTTTAATGCAATCATTTGAAAAATGTTACAAATAAAAAAAAAAAAAAAAAATTAAAAAAATTATTACCAAACTTTAAAACTGGGTGCAGATACAATTCTATGCAAACCATGACAAATTGTATTATGCGTGATCAACAGAGAATGCTACCTTAAATAGTACAGATAATAAAAAGAGAACTAGCAGGAAACAAAAGCTAAAAAATTTCTATTCCATTTTTTTTCCGTTTTCAGCAGTACAATAAACATTCTCCAAAATTTTAAGCTTCATACACTACACACACTTGTATAGCTGCAGAATTGATAACACTAAAAATCCATTTCTTGCATTCTATCCCATCACCAGATATCTTGATAAAGTATACTTGTCACCAACATGCCACATTGGTTGACAAAAAGATTAGGTGAATGAGTACTTGAGAAAACTACACTTGTAACTCAATTACTTTCCTAGGCAGTAGTAGTAAAAATTTGTTGCTACATTGTCACACATGTGTGCATATATACATATATACACAAAGGAGAACTGAACAGACAAAAATGCATGTTCAGTTCATTTTTTAATTAGATCAAGTGTGAAATTAAAAATCAACTTGAAAATTATTGAGTGCTTATATATATATATATATATATATATATATATATATATATATATATATGTCAGTCAACTTCCTTGCCTCTTATACCCTGCCACCCTACAAAATATGAAGGGTGAATTTTATACAATATCAACTGCATAATGATAGAACACCTAAATTCTTCTTAGTGAATCTGGTGTTTAAGGAAGATAGAAACAGGATGGAGGCTAACAAAATTACAACAGGTCCATCATGCTGTTTTCCATCTCTTACAAACACATCCTGGGTATGGCAATAAACTACATCAAGGCTTCTGATCAGAAGGTTTTAAGGAGCATGGAACCACCTCTTAATTGCTGGTATTCCCAGGTCCACCCTGACCCAGAGTGGTAACACTTGTGAGGCTCCTAGCTATGGGCAAATAGTGAACCCCAAACTGGGGACAAAACATAAAAATACATTTTTATAGTAAGAATATGTACAATAAATTTTCATAGTAAAAAACAAACAAAAAAATTTTTTTACCAGCAATACATTTTATAAAAAAAAAAAATTATCAAAGTTCCCAATAAAATTAACTTTTGGCATTAAATGACCCATAAGGAGTTGATATGTCATTAAACAAGCCAAACCTCTTACAAACACACAAATAAAATGAAGTCACCTCTCAACCTTACATCAACATCATAAGAGAAAGTTTATTCTCTTAGTCATTCATCTTCAATGAGCATTCTTAAGCATACATATATAAAATGAAGGTATGCAGAATATAATGCATTTAAATTTATGCAAACAACTGAAATACTAACCTCCATTTCTTTGCCAACTAAAATTTTTTGGTTATCTCCTGTTTGTTCATTTCGGACTGCATGGGTAACTATGCCACAATTCCGACAGTGAAAAACTGTCCAATCTTTGACAATCTTTTTATGAAGAAAGAAAGTGTGACTCTACAAAAGGAAGAAAAAACAATAAAAGAAACTGCTTATTTATATAGACAATTACAATACAGGATTATTTTTGCAAGCTATTTTTTCAGTTCTTATTTTCATTCTTGCCTTTATCTATTAAATAATTTCTCAAAAATGTAACATTTCAAAAATTTATTATACAAGAGTTATTTTCTACAAGAAAACATTTCCATATTTTCCTTGTAATGTCAGGTCTTATCTGTACAAAAACATTTCCTGGCAGATGAATTGGATGACAAGTCATATGTTGAATCCTTGGAAAATTGGATAATTCAGGTACACAATTTTTCAGATTTCAATGCAAAGAAACACTTAATATCCATTTTAACCTATTCACAACTAAAACTGCTTGCCGTTTTTAAAATGTCATAATGATCTGAAAAGATGATACACACAAGGAGCAAAGTCAGGAGTGTAAGGAGGATTAGGCAAAACTTTCATATTCCCTATTTTTCTGAATAATATGTGGTCTTGCATATTGTGTAAGAGCAACAAGCCTTTATAATTAGCCAGATTTGGTGCCTTTCTGCATATTTTTGTGCAATGCTTCTAATTATGATAATACTTCTCTGCATTAACTATTTTGTTTTGGTGTTCTCATTTTTTGAATTTATACAGCGTCTGATATGAGTTTGATATAAACTGCTTTTAAAAGCGGTAACATTGAAACAAAATTTATCTGCTCTGATATTAAGTAATCGTCAAAGAAAGAAAAAGCATTAAAATGTAAAAATATTAGCTTACCAGAAGTAATGAAAAAGACAACTCAAAGTGATCATGTCAAAAATGCAACACATGCAAGCACACACAGACTAGCTTGAACTTAGAACCATGACTTTAGACAAGTTTTAATAGTTGGAACATAATATATAAAAAAAATCACACAATTTATTTAATTTATAACTTTGCTCATGAATTGAGGAAATTAAGTCAAAAATTAAAATCTTCAAGTTCTTGTTGTATATGAAATATATTAGGACATGAATATTAATCTGATGAACTGCCTGTAATCTATAGCTAAATGACCTTTATGGCTTGAACAAGTGTCAATCTATGAATCAGTGCTATTATCCTTATCAAAGCAGAAGCTGATAAACAGCTAATTTTTCCATAGCTAACCTGGAATTGTGTAATTTTCACCTCATATTTTACATCTCCAATGTTAAACCAACTGTATAAATAATTTCAAACAGAAAATTTTGTATATACATGGGTTGACAGGTAAGTAAAGCCTCTAGTCCTATAAAACAAGTGTTAGACCAGTTAGAAGAATGAAACTGGTATAAAAAAAAAGAAGTAAATTTATTTCTCTGCAAAATTATAAATTTACTTTCATTAAAGTGCCATACAGTTTTTAAAATTTCTCCACTATTTCAATTCCATTCATGAAGAAAATTTCTGGTTGACCTTTTGATCCAGTTGTGGACAGTAACTTCAACTTTGTTATCACATGAAGAATGTTAGTCTTTTAATATATTTTTTTTTCAATCTTGTGAACAACCAGAAATCTGATAGTGTCAAATTAAAATTGCACAGAGAGTTTGCAACAACTGTAAATTTCAATTTTACACCCTTTGCACTCTTTGCAATGAGGGTTGACATTGTCTTAATGCAAAATATTCTCTTTTCAGGCCTTATTCTGCATATGCATTATTTGAGTGCTTTCAAGATTTTCATTGTTTCAGTGAACTTTAATTAGCATGTAATGTTTGAGAAACAAAAATTCCAGATCACTGCTTTATACACAACTTTAATGTCGACTCATGATTAACCAATACTATTCTACAATGCTGCCACACAACAAACATATCAAGCAGGTTTAAACAACTCCACTATTTGTGAGGCCACTCAGTAGACCAATCAACCCTTATACATGAATACTGGAATGTCACTTTGTGCCAGACAAAGCTAAGCTTAAAAATGTTACTCTTAGTTATATGATATTAGGGTTTATTAATATAGTGATCATTTTTGTTTAAGATTTCTGGGCTAGGACTATGATGTAGTGCATATTTCTTTCTCTATTACACATTTATCATTGGCAAAAAAACAAAAAAACAACTGTAATTACTATTTTGAGTAGTTTCTAACACATTACTTATCATCTCTCAGTTGCGTCTCTGTCTTTTGGCAGAGTGTGTTCAGGGGTTACTCTGTCAAAGGACAGAGTTGCAACTGAAGAAAATTATACTGAGAGATGTTTAGCTCTGGGGAACAGCTGCCTGAGTCCGCACCTTCTCATGGCACCAGAGAGAGGGATCAGTGCTTGTACCGAAGCCAGCACAACCAATGGCTGCGGAGGCTGAGGGCAAATTTTGCTCCTTGCCGGGGTGTTCTCGCTCCGGTCCCCACCTTGTGTCACATGTCATCTCAGTGGGGAGACAGTAAATACCGTGTGTAAATTACTATAAAGTAGAATTGGAGCTTTTTAATCTCAGAATTTGTGGGAGAATTTCACATTTATTTATGTAGACTTATATAGGTTTTATCTAATTAGCTATTAGTTTTCTCTAACTTTTCATATGTTGAATGTATAACTAATTCTAATTTCTATTTTCCAATGTTTACAATATATTAATTTTATCTTATCAATTGTCCCATTTTATCACCCACAAAATAAAAATAATTGTTTGTATGGAAAATAAGGATCTACATACATCAAATCATCTTTAAATTAAGTGGCAGCAGAAGAATTATTGTTAAACTTTTAAAAGGTAAGCTTAAACATTAATTCAATACTTAAATGAGTTCTTCTGTAGTTTATTGATGCCTATCGCATCTACTCCTCCCTAGCTACTGTCATGATGGCCAAACCAAGAGTCCTCTACCGGAGCTAGTTTAAATGCCACCCAATAGGGCAGCTTTAAGCTAGCTTAAAATTTTAAGCTAGCTGCAATTTTGGATACAAAAAGGAAAATAAAAGTTACTCCCCTTGAACCATGAAAGCAATGATAATGGCTAGTATAATATATTAATATATATTTTTAACCTCACATAATGTGGCATCCCTGAATCTGAGCTCAACGAAAATCGTTCCCTGCACCTAACTTTTCTAAGCCTTTTGAATGAGCTATGAATCATTGAAATCGAACCAGTGGGAGTGGAGGAGTTGCTTGGACACACACGCACAAACACACAATGTACTTTATATATAAGATATATATATATATATCTCCATGTACGATGAGCACAAACCGAGTATAATTCCAACATTTGTAACATTTAATTTAAAAGAAGGCTCAATAGAGAGTAGAGTAATATTATTTATTTTAGGATATTACACTGAAAACATGTAAAAATTGCTACACAATTCCAATTGTGTTTCAATGAGTATCAATGCATTTCATCAGACTATTGTAAATTACTGGCAAGTAAATGATTTAATCAGATTTAAAAGCAAAATACCTCTTTTTACAAAAAAAGTATAAAGGGGGTTATAAGGTTTGTGAGCTTTACTCTGATCAACCAATCAAATATGACCTACGTTAAAATTAAACTAAACAAAGAAGCAAAAATTAAAAATTATTTTTTTATAACTGGGTCATGATCTGTAGATTGGCAGCTAACAGCAGCCAGACATAAACTAAAGTGGATACATATGGTTACATAAATTATAGGAACCAGACAATGCAATTTCCTAAGAAATAAAAGTGTTTGGAGAGAAAATTTAACAAAATGCTAAACAAGTTATATGCTTTGTGAATTTCCTACATAAAATTTTTTATTGTAGTTGATAAATAAATAACTTCTTTAAAAAACTAGTAAATAATTTAAACATGTAGAATTATTTGGTAAATTAATATGCAAGTGTTAAATAAACATCCTTCATATAAGATGTTAAGAACACTAACCAACCAATGTAAAAAGTCAAAAATAGCAACCAAATACCAATACATCTGTACAAGATGTTACCAATACTACCATGGAAATTAATACAAAATTAAATCCTGATTAATCTTACAAATAGAAAGATAAGCCATATATAGTGCAATGCAGTACAACTAAAATATAAGAAAAAGCATTGTCAAATTTCAAATTTTACCTAAATTGTAAGGTAAAAGGTAAACTATGTTTACAATTTACTGTTAATTCACTTCAACAATGAATTTTTGTCAAAAAAAAAAAAAAAAAAAAAAAATGATTTTGAGTTTTTCATGTAAACACTGAAAACAAGGGTCATATAAAGATCTACATGTCTATGCCATTTTTTAAATTTACCATTTCACCTTAAGAGTCTAATTATCATCTTTTAAACTCCAAAAATATTTAGAAAGTGATGTATTATTTCTGTAAGTAGTATTGGTAAAGGACAAGATATATTGATACCACCTAGTCTTAAAAGAATTCATAGTACTGCCAATATAGAATTTTTCAACTGTCAGATTCTCTATCATAGAGATAGTACTAAGATAAACCAGAGATTTAGTTAAACATTTGTTTAGCAATGGCCATTGGTCAGAATTCCTACAATTACATTGGCTAATATCATTAATATTTATCTGAGAATGTGTATTATGATCCAGATTATTAAACTGGTCTAAAAATTTTATTATTGTTTATGTTTATAATCTTCAAGATTATTGGTGCAACTGTAACTTAGTTTTTATGTGTTTCTGTTAAATATTTTACGATGAGGGTACTTTTAGGAAAACATTTATGAATCAAATGGAGGAACTTATAGCCTTAGTACTGACTAACTGATTAAATGGAGGTGTGTAACAAATGATCTTCCTATTTCTACTACTTTTCTTTGGACCACTATCATCATATTTTCTAAACTTGATTTCAGAGTACTTACACTATTCTTTAAAACTTTATTATAAACACTGATATATTTATCAATTACGTCTTTGTCTGACAAGTGGTTGCTGATCCTACATTCTACAGACAAAGGTATGTTAGATTACAGATGGAGGGTGATTAGAACTGGGGTGAATATAAATTGGGTTGACATTTTTCATATAAGGTTGAAATATATCATTAACAAGATCTAACGTAACCTCAAGAAAATCTACTTGTTTAACATTAGTACTTATCTTAACCATAAGATTTAAAATTTTAGTTCTCTGTGAATCATCTTTCATAATTTATCTAACTTAATTTTAATGTAATTTTTTACTACCATAAGACCATCATCTCTATATAACCCTATATTATCAACAATATATATGTGTCAATGCATTCATATTCTTTCTTTTTATGCGTCTTCAGATTGTGAGTAATCATGACTCTCCACTACTTCTCATCTTTTGTTATGAGCAATATTTTCTTCTTTGATCCATTTTTCCTTGTGGCACTTGTTCCTCTATCCATTCCTTTCAATGCACTCTCTGTCTTAAATTCTGCAAGTTTTCTTTCCTTATGTGTCCCCAAATTTTCTGCTGTCTCTTTCTGATTGATATCAACACTTCCTTTATAATTGATATTCTCCTTTGAACTTCATTTTTCCCATGCTCTATCCATAGTATTCTCAACATTCATCCAGAGAATGGCATTATGCTTACCTCGTTTTTTTTCATTTGTGATGAAATGATAAGAATTGTTTAACTTTCACTACTATTCATGTGTGTGTGTGTGTATATATATGTGTGTGTGTGTATATATATATATATATATATACACAATATGTTCTTTCCAATAAATAACAAATAGTTAAGGTAGGAACAAATGTTTCGATTTATGGCTTGAATGTTTTATAAATCAAAACATTGGCAAGTCATCACTCATTGTGTTGAACCTTTTTTTTTTTTTTTTTTTTAAATCAAGCAAGTGTATGAAAGTTTGTTTACCTGACAGAATTTCAGTCAGGAGGATAAAATATAACAAAATGTATGAATGAAAGCACTATATGTAGGACAATTTTTCCTATCAGAACAAAAGGAAATTATTCCATTATTTAGTTTTATATTTTCAACATGTGACAAAGATATGCACATATAAAATCATTATCCCAGCAGTTCAGCATAAAAAAAAACATTTAATTCCTTTGTATATCTCAAGGCTACCAGAGTGTGTGTGTGCATATATATATATATATATATATATAGATATAGATATATATATATATTTATTTCTAAAGAATTAATGGATTTTAATTTTTAATCCAACAATTATATCACTTCAGACATTGTTTTAGTGGATACCTATAATTGAATAAACACTCCATTTTTATTTTAAACAGTATTTATTTCATCTACTGGCCTGCACACTAAAAGAAAATTTGACCTCAAGCAGGATTCAAATCTGCATCCCTATTTACAGAAGAATATCACCATCTGAAATAAATTTCCTTGAGTGTGCAGGCCACTAGACAAAATAAATACTATTTAAAATAAAACAGTGTCCACTCAACTATGGATATCCACTAAAAATAACATTTGAAGTAATAAAACTATTAAAAATTACAGTTTTAAGGCATGCTATATTTATGGGTAGAAGTACTCAATATCAAGGATAGAACATGACTAAATATATGAGTGGACACTGAGGTCAATACCAAATGGTGACAGTGTTTCAGGTTTTCAACAATCTTCTGGCCTAAAGTTTGCATTCAAGCATGAAATAGACTGTTGCCACATGGTATTGACTTCAGTCTCTTCCACTGAACCAAGGTATAATGATTCCTAGCACTACCCAACCTAGAGGTTTATCTCAGTTCCCAGATAACTAAATCCATTTATCTAAAGTTTAGTGGGCAAAAATTCCAACAAAAATTAAGCTTAACTTAGTATTGTGCAATGTTGAATGGGAATAGGAAGACCCAAGTGGAATCCAAATCATGACAATATGCCTGCCTTTAAAAAACTCAACATTAAAAGTATTAGGCTGGTTGGAATTTATTTTACCCAAAAGTTAAAATCTAGACAAAATGGCTTTTCTGGACATAATATTGTCTTCTATATAGACTATTAAAATATCAATGTACACAGTTTGGGTATACATGTCTGAAAACTTCAAATTGATAAGTGATCAATATATTATGAAGAACAAGTATTTGAAAATTTTTTTGGTAATGGTACAAGAGACCTTCCCCATTTTACTTTCTCAGGTGTTAGCAGTGTGAGGGTAAATATTTTCAGTTCTTTTTCTTCTGAAAGAAAAGCCACAAATGGACACAAAGAACAAAGTGAGTGAAGGAGATAAAAGAATAAGAGATAGGTAGGGGTAGGTAGGGAAGTGATAGAAAAGTAAAAAAAAAAAAAAAGTGACGAAAAAGGAAGAAATCGGAAGAGAGAGAGAGAGAGATAGACAAAGTTGAGGTGGGGAAAATAAGTGTCAGAAATGAAGGTGGATCAAAAGAGTGTTATGAATTTGCAAAGAAGTAACAATAATGCCAGTTCAGCAATCCTGGTAACCTTATTGATTACAAGAGGTGATAATTTAAGAGATAGAAAGAGTAAGGCAAAAGGCATAGCAAGAGAAAAAGAGTGGAGAAAAGGGAATTAAGTCATGTTGAAGCATATAAACAAATGTCATTGATCGAGGTAATAAGTACCTGAGTGTATAGTTAAATGTCAGGTAAGAAACTGACCAGCAAATTTAATTTGTACTATTGAGTTGGAAACAATAGAGTCTTTAGAGTTAGTGATTACAGGTAAAATAACAAAGCAACACTTAAGTTTTATTTACTTATTTTTTGGTTCTTTCTTTACAGAGGTTACTATCGTAAGAAAAAAAAAAAAGCAAGTATTTATTGGGTTGGAATAAAAATGTGTAGCATTTTTCAACAGGCAGTGTTTGAACATGTGATTTTGTATAACACATGACTGAAATTTATGACATCTATACACGTTCAACATGTCTTTCTATAGGACTTGTGCAGATTAAGAATTTTAAATGCTTTTATGTTTAAAGTAAAAATGGAATGCATTTTTCATTATTTGTTGATCTTTTATTTCAAGAAAGCTAAAAATACTGTACAAACAGCAAAAAAAAAAAAAAAAAAAAAAATGAAAAAAAAAAGGTATGTGCCACTTATGAAGATGGTGCCACAGCTGAGATTACTATTCATAAGTGGTTTGCTTGATTCAGAAATGAAAATTTTGATCTGGAAGAATGAGATTATTCTGGCATGATTGCAGTCATTGATGATAAACAAATCAAAATGCTAATTAAAATAATTCTGGTCAAATGACATGGGGCACTACAGAGATACTCCATATATTTTATATGAGTGTTGTAAAGTATTTGAAAATGCTTGTGCTCCACAATTTAATAAAAAGAATTTAATGGACCACTTTTCCATTCATGATTCTCTACTCAAACATGATGAAAAATAACTCATTTTTGAAAAGAATGATCACAGGCCATGAAAAATAAACTGTTTACAACAATATTGTGTGAAAATGGTCTTAAGGAACTACTCTAAACATCAGTTTGCATCTGAAGAAAGTGACACTTTATATCTAGCAGGATTAGAAGGGCATGAACTTCTGCAAAATCAGACATTAAATTTAAACAAGTACTGTTCTCATTTGGACTGATCAATTGATGAAAAGTATCAGGAATTAGCAGGGTGTATTTTTTTAATCAGAACAATGTCAGATCTCGTTTCTCTTTGTAAAACCAGTAGAAATTGGTACAGCTTGGCTGGAATTCCCTAGTACACTCGCCATACTCAAACAACCTCCCACCTTTGTAGTACCACTTATTTTGATCTCTATAAAAATTCTCTTATTGTGAATGACTTCAATTCTTTTGATGCCCGTAAAAACCACTTAGACCAGTTCTTCACCCAGAAAGATGTCAAGTTCTAGTAGGATGAAAAAATGGCCAAAGCTAGTGGATCAAAATCGTACATATATGGTTAAATAAATCTATGTACAAATATCTAAATATTATCTTTGAAATTCACTTAAAAATATGCCACAAACTTTTGTTCCAATCCAATAAAATTCAGAGTCAATGAAAGGGTGAGAGGTCATCATTTCCAAAGGGGTAAGAAAGATATTTTAATTTTGCTCATACACTGCAAGAAGCTATGCATATTTAAATCTAGTGAAAGCCATATCTTTATATAATTATAATTTTTTTTATCTAAAATAAGTAAGAACAGAAAGACTGTTTAATAACAGCTGTATTGTTAATGTAACTTTATATGTTACAGTCATTTTTACATAGTTGAAACATAGTTGAAAGACAGGTATGTTGGCCCATCTGACCATTTTTAATGAATTGTCTTAAAGTCAAACAAGAAATAAAATTATAAAGGAATGTTTTATAGCTACAAAATATCAATTTGTTTTTATGGTACAAAGGAAAAAAACTAAATGGCATAAATGATTTTAGTTGTTTATATGAAGTCTTGAAGACATATATACATACATACATACATGATATAAGTACTACATCAAAGTATAATTCATTCAAATTTATCCTTACTGAATAATAATATCACACCTTTTTTTTTAATTAAGTTATTTTCTCCTTTATGCAAGCATAGATAGGATTTGAGAACATATTAACATCTTTCTGGATATGTCAACAAAGTTCTTTTTTTATTCTGGTAATATTTCTAATCTGATAATGTAGCAAGCAGTGACTTTATTGTAAACAAGTTTATTGAAAATGCTAAATTTGAAAAAACAATGGATTATACAAAAAAAATCTTTCTCTGCAGATATGAACAAAGAATTATTTAGATAAAATAAACACTTGAAGTGATTCAAAGTATAATGGTATAAAACCATAAATATATTTAAAAATTTACCAAAGAAATGGGTCCTTCCAGAGCACTTTCAGGTAGACAGTCAAACTTTGAGGAAGGCAATTCCTTTGGGCAATCTGAAAAACAATAAATAAATTCTTAATAATTGGCATGACTATTTCCTTGTTCTTCTCTCAAAACAAAAACAAAAAATAAATTAAAAAACTGTCAATCAAGTGATTTCTTTTGCTTAGAATGCACTTTCCTTACAGATATGTTTTCATGAAATAAACATTTGAATCTATCTTTTCAATCTTTCTTAAACATTTTCCAATACATATTTCTTAAAAAAAAAAAAAAAAATGTTTCATAATTCTTGGCTATTTCTGATACTTTTAATAATAAAGAATTTAACTACTCTCCAAAAACTATATCCTCCATGTTTGAATTTGGAAATTATATTTTGAAATTGAGATTTCAAGTTAAAAGTTGAATTGTGACAGATTGGGAAAGCAATTTTGGAGATTTACTTAACATTTAAAAAAATAAGCTGATGGTAGGGGTAACAAGTGAAAATTCAGCAGTAACTGCTCAGTGAGAAGAGCATTGATATTAGGAAAAGCCTTTGAAATATCTGTAGCAAAATTTTTCAACGACATTCAATGTGCACAATTCATAAATTGCTAAAGGAACAAGTGAAAATACCAGCCACCTTGCTGATAAGCATCTTTTTAAAAAGAAAAACTGTTTCAGATGTAATTGTATTAGACATATTTGTCAAAAGCATAGAAAAGATAAACAAATTCATAGAAAGGGGAAAGATAATGATAGCAATGAATAACATTGATAGTTGCTTGGATCAAGGCATGGAGATGATGGAACTATATACACTTGATGTGTGATGTTCCCTGCCTCTGTAGCTCAAACTGCTTGTGAATAATTGGAGGGTGATGATGGCAGTAAGAATAGGTGATTCATGTTCAGTGATGAATTTGAGAAAATTTAAGAAAGATGAAAGATTTACAAGAAATATCAAAGTTGAAAGCATAGACAATGAGTTGATGAAGTTGTATGGTGTGGTCAATAATGAGGTGTTGGATGAGGAAAAAAAACAAAAGAGGGTTGCCTCCTATTGTTGGTTGGGAAGAGCAAAGTTCCCACATTGTTTGTCAAAAATTAGCTGAAGAAAATGAAGTTAGATTGGAGAGCCATGTTTCTTTCAAGCAAGGATGAGGTTCAATTGAAATTGAATAAAGTTTAATTCAATGATCTAGAAGCATAAAACATTTTATGGTGACAAGACAGCAAAACCTTGACTTTGTTGAGCTCATTCAGTAGATTATTTACTAAAGGAGAAATGAGAATGAATTTGATTGACTAGAAAGACAAGGTATGAAAAAAAGTTGAATATTTTCATATGACTGCACCTACAGCACCAGTACCCAAAAGCAATACTAGAACTATTCAATTATGTAAGGACTATAAACAAAACATAAACAGTACTAAGGACAGTTTTTTTTTCTGTAAAAAGGAAGAAAGAAATTTAATGATTTGATTCATGTGTATCAACAATTCAAGTTAGGGAAAAGCTACTTCCTATTAATACTCATTATGTTCTATGCTAAACTACTCAATTGAAATTCAGTGTACATAATGCCACAGGTATTATTCAACACAAAATATATAAGTACATTCCTCTCTGTAAAGTGCAGGTGGATATTTTGATTTCAGGTATTCATGATACTAGTCACATTATGAATCTTCAGGAAGTATTGTTTGTATTGGGGAAAGTCAGGATTTAAATTGTTCAAAATTACATGTCACTTCTGTTCTTCCAGAAGTGTTTTTTGAATTATAAAAGAAAGGAATAATCCCCCCTTCTAGAGAAAATTGTTGCAATACAAAAGCTCTTACTTCAAAAAAATGTTACAATGTAAAAAGATTTTCTTGGAATTTTAAATTATTAGTTATCATTCACCCATTTTGCCAACTGTTACTGAGCTACTGTACCATTTGTTGAAGAAGAATGCTTGAGAGGAAATCAGAAAAAGGCTTTCCAAGATTGCACAAAAAATATGTATAGTTATGCACCTATCTTGATACATTTTGAGCCTTCAAAACTGATTCTGATGCATGTAGATGTTTCTTCCTACAAAGTAGAAGCACTAATAGTTCATAAAATGGATAATGGGAGTTGGTTTGTTAAATTTCATGTACATTCTCAACTGCAGACTGAAATTACAACCACATTAAAAAAAAAGAAAGACTAGCATTTGTGTTTACCAACAAAAACCTTTATCTCAATAGCAATGTTTTCACTTTGTACAGTGACCATGAAGTGTATGGTGAAAATAAACCCATTCTTCTCTTTGCTGATGCCAGAGGACAACATAACTATAAATTAAAGTATCATGATGGATCCTCCAACAGTAATACTGACTGTCTTAGTTGCTGATTAATTCCTGTGACAAAAACTGAAGTACATTCAAAAACTAAGACAGGCTCTGCTATGATTAATTATATAAAATCACTATGAATGACCGGAGGAATCATGTTGCAATAACTAAATTAAACTGTAACTTATTCATACTGCAAAGAAAAAGATTTTATGGTTAGGATCATACAGTACTTAAACTCTTGGAGAGAATTTCACTGTTCTCTTGCAATTTGACAGACTAAGAATTGAGATAAATCTTAGATATTCATTGTAAAGAGAAAAAAATGCAATATTTATGAACATCTGTCCCTAACCATCTTAGAAACAAGGTAGTTGTGAAAGTAATGTCAGACCAGATGTTCTAACACTATGTATTTGATTCCTTGTAAAAAGTTATTTTTCATATTAGAAATGATTCTTCCTGATCTTTATAGCAATCCAGTGTCTAATAAGCTGTATGTCATTTTCACAAGTAAATTGTCAAGTATAATATTCATATTGAGCACATCTCAGTATCCTGATACACTGACAACTTCCAATTCTAGAGCATATGATATAAAATCATACACAGATTCTCCCAAGATGCAGTTCAGCAAATTTAAATGTTTACCTCTGGGATTTATTGATGGATATTGCAAAACTGAGGCATACTGGAAACTGAAGTCTCTTAAATCAAAAGGAAACACTTGTTGGTAAAAATAATTTTATAAAACTACATCCTTTCCTTTGGTGCACCTGATGAATAACCTACATGACATAAAGCATAAATTTCTTAACTATCAGTCTTATTTCATTGCAAAGTTTATCCAAATTACACAGTAGCATTATTAGCTTCAGTCTGTTTATTGATTTGTTGGTATGACTATTTCTTGCAAGAGTCTGCAAAAGTAGCCAGTTGATGATGCTGACAGTAACATTTTTGATTGGAAATATTGCCTTCACACACATCATCTAGTATACTGCAGGTCGGGGAATGCCTTTATTATCTTGCTTTAATATCAATCCATCTGCTGTCTTGACCTTTGTGCTTATAGGAACTAAACAGACATTTAAGTAGAGCAAGCCATTAGGGAGGAAAAGATAAAAACAAGAAATGTTTTATTAAAATTCTGAAAATCTATTGAAATAATTGAAGTAGCTTCTTTAAGGTTTACCTTTAGTTTTAACTGCAAGAAAGTAGCAAAGTTATTTTTTTTTAAAAATTAATCTTGTGTTTGAAAAATTAATTGCCAGTTTAGTTTACATCGAAGTTTCAGATATTTAGATTCAGTGCATTAAATCACCTTCACTGGACACATTTTAGAAAAAAACAAAAAAGAAGAAAAGTTAAACTAATCTAATTCTCTAACTGTTCTTTTTCATGATAAAATTTATAAAAATGAAATCATGAAATGTGATCAAAATGTTTTTGTTAGTAGTACATTGAAGACCAAATCAAAGAAAATGGAACATTCATATTTCAAAATTTAAAATCAAATATGAACCTCAGAAACTCAAATATAACAATGAAACTTTTGGGGTGATAATATTAGTAAATTAACTGAACCTTTTAGTTTTTTTCAGTATGAATGGAAAAGAAAAAAAAACTCCTTTAACCGACATTATTTCTAATATCTTACACCTTTTAATATCCTATATCTACTCACTTCCAATGAAATACAATAGGATAAAGTACAAACAATTTCTTTGACCTAAATTATTTCTAATTTTTACATTATTTAAATATTTTCTAGTTTTTAAAGAAAATATACAAACTGTAATACACCACTGGTATGCTTTTTGTGAAAATTTGCATATGTGGCTTAATTTTTCAACTGACAAGGTACAGGCAGTTAAAAGTAGAAGATTTATGCACACAAACTTCATTTTATTACTTTATATATATATATCATTAACGCAGACTGATATATATATATATATATATATATATATATATATATATATATATATATATCTTGGTTTATAGTCTCTGATTAAACCAGGATACATTTACAGTTGTATAACAACTGGCCACTCGTATTCAAGGATACCCGTCTACTAGGGCAGCTAGCCAATCCCTATTGTAGACTCTCACTCAGGCATATTTGTGTTTGTCCAACACCCATAGAGCCAACCTGTGGCTTATACTGCAACTATTGCTGAACAAACCTTAGTTACTGTTTCTGGAAGAGAGAGTGTTATCTAGCATGATCAACAATCTGAAAAATGCCAGCACACTCAAACCCCACCATCACGGTGACTTGTGACTGTGCTAGCATAGCTCTCGACGACCCCCAAGTGTTCCATCTACCCAGTTTCACTCACAAGGCTTGGGTCAACCCATGGTATGGTTTCCAGGCACTTTCCAAAGGTGCCACATGCTGGGATTGCCACCCTCCAGACCAATAATAATAACTTCCTGACAAATCATCCGTGGTGAGATTTGAACCCCAGTCTCATGGTCATAAAGCAAACATTCTAACCACTTGGCCACGTGTATACACACATATATATATATATATATATATATATATATATATATATATATATATATATATATATATATATATATATATATATATATATATATATATATATATACGAGAGAGAGAAATACAGAGATATATAGAGATAGAGTGTGGACATGTTACAGGATTTCAAAGCAATTTTGGAAATCGATCAGCCCATAAGCCAAAAGATAGCCTGAAAGAATCACTGAGTCTTGCAAACATCTGCACATATGACTAGGAGCTTTATGCAAATGATTGTACCACCTGAAAGAAGAATGTTGAGCATGTTCTCCAATTGCAAAATCTTAAAAGAAACGTCCCAAAAGGAACAAGTTCTTTAAATAGTTGATTCAAAAATCAGTTTATGAAATCTATACGTGTAAATTAAAATTTCAATATATTTGAGGGTTCTAAATAAAGAAATAAAGATGAAAAAATTTCAGACCATAACAATGTAGAATGGTAACGTAATCAAATGTTATTAAATAAAAATAGTATCAAGTTTTTTTTGTAGAAAGCCTTTGCAAGTGCAGGTATTATAAATGAATTGACGTATTTGTGAAGTTCAAATATGTTGAAAATCAAAATATTACAAACTTCAAACTCAATTTTAAATGAATGTGCAATCTGAATAAGTTTCAGATAAAAAGAAGCTCAGATGCAGCCAACCAACCAATTTTAAAATTTAGTTGGATGATAAATGAATAAAACAGATTCAAAGTCAGTGTAGAGAATGAGAGATTGGTAAATAGAAATGTAATAGGCAGGTGTAACAAGGTAGTTAGAAATGAGGCACCACTTGCCTGGATAAGATTATATCTCAACTAGACAATAATAGAGAAGAAGGATTAAGGACATACAGGCAATAAAATTATATATACATACATACGCACTACACAATAAGCCTCTTCAAAATATTTTTCTAGGTATTTGAAGTAGGGATATTAAAAAAAAAATAGCTATGACTTGTAAATGATGAAAGTATGCTTTTGTATATAATTTTAAAGAATAATAAATATAACTAGTTCTTTTCATATGTACAAAAATAAGCTATCGACAATTGAAATGATTGTATAATTATAAAAATAAAATTAATCAAACACCTTCATCAAGCAAATCACAACATCCAAACTAACGATATTTTTTCCCATTATCACACTTTGCATTTAATTGTAGCTAAGGAAAAAGAAAAAAAGATGGCATGGAATTATCAAGAACACTTGAAAAAGTGACAGTAATAAGTGGCATTTAATCCCTGAACAAATAATAATTTTTACTCAGATTCACAAGTCTTATTCATTCTGTTTAGTAATACACACTGAATCAAATAGCTATATTTACTCTATTTTTTTTTGTCATAAATAGTTTTAAAAAAGTAAAAATGTTGCTTGTAAGATATTTTATATTATCCTTTAGTCAAAGCTTTGTAATAAAAGATTTTTTTACCATGAAGTCAGCAGTAATTTTTATTGAAAACAAACATTTTTTTTTAATACATATTGATCTAACCAGCATTCCAGTGAGAGGAAACTTGGGTTCCAACTGATTTTCAAAAAATGTCAAATTTAAATATGTCCAAAATTAGGTATACCCATTTTATTAATTATAATATTATCATCTTTCTTTTCAGTTCTCTTCTGGATTATGACCATATCATGTTGAAACACTAGTTCTTGCACAATTTTCAAACTTAAGCAATGTTGAGCTTGGTCAGAACCTACATGGGAGACCACTTGGGAATACGAGGTGCTGTAAGTTTGGATGTGCAGGTGATGGACTGAATAACAGCTCAGAATTGGAAAAAGAAGAGCAGAGTTCAAATTCCAGTCAAGTTCATTATATTCACTTACACACAAATACCTTTGGGAAAGGTATGAATCCACCTTTTCTTGGTCAGTTTGAGAACTTTTCAGCACCTCCTCATAAATATAAATTTTATAAAGAGTTGGTGTGTGAAATATTTTGCTTAAAATTGAAAAATAAAACAAATTGTTTTTTAAAATGTAAATAAATTAAAATTTGCATAAGTTTACACAAATTATTATTTTTTTTTTTATTTCACATTCACTTTTCTTTAACAAAAAGAAAAAATATAAAAGCATTTTTGTATAATAATGTTATTTTGGGAGTATTTTATCCACCTTCCAGGAATGTTAATACCAATAACTTCTTTTTGGTTTTGCTTATGTACTCTGTGATGTATACACTTTATCTTTCAAAGACGTATATTATTTATCTTCAAGCTTTCACACACTACAAGTAAATGCACACACTTTTTCATTATTGCTTTTATATTATATATTTTCTATAATTTTTAATAGAGAAATACACACACAGTTCCACAGTGTATACTGTTATTCCTAGCACATACATTCTCTGTCTCTGTTCCAGTGTCTCAGAGAATTTTAGACACATGCAAACAGAATCTTTCACATTTGTTTCACTCGTGTTAGCGCGACAAAACACTCATGTACACACACTCGAACTCCTGCAAACAAAAGCCTCCTGTCACAATATCCACTAATGTTTTCTTGTTTGTCCCTTTCCATCCCAAATAAATAACAAAAAAGTTGACACTTCCACGTTTCACTGGTAAAGGGTACTGAAGAAGAATAAAGTAATTACAAAGCTAGAAAAGTTTAAAGGAATAAAAAACATCAAAATAATCAACTCCTTCACCCTAACACTCAGTACCATAACAATTAATATGTGGCTAAATTAGCATTAACTACAAGAGAAAGAAACAATACTATGAGCTATATGAGTCAGTTCATAATTATTATTGGATGGCTGAAATAATCTGAGTAATTCATTTTTTCTTTTTCTTTGATTGTATTTGAAGATCATCAAGTGAAGTGGGCAAAATTACCAAGTGACCTCAGCTGAACTTGTCTTGACCTTTTAGTCTTAGAGAGTCCAGTAGGTTGTTAAAAATTCTCAAATGTGAAAGTAAAACATGTCATATGAGTGTGAGATAGAAAGCCCTATTTAGTTTAAGAGTTGATAGCAACTATATTTTAGGACAAACTCTAAAGGGTCGCTTAACTTTGTTCTCCTTTGGTTTTAAGCAATATTCGCAGCTTGAAACGATTTAACCAAGATCCATAAACAAAATTTTAAACATGATTAAATTAAAAAATGAAAATAAATTTTCTTAAATGGCACAAGTAGAAGGTAAACATTTGATTACAGTATAAAGAATTGCTGGCCCACAGGTAGGTCTTTGTGCAAGCAACCAAACTATCAAAAATGAAAAATATCAAAACAGCCAAATACTATTTTTTTTAGTGCTTTGTATGTCACAAAGCAGAAAAAAAAACAGTTTAGGAACAAAAGAAAAATACAAAAAAAAATCAAGAGAACAATTAATATTTCACAATATCAATTATTGTCATTTATAGGTTATTATTTGGGAATAACTAAAACAAGTTTAATATAAAATTATATATAATTTATTGGCAACATTGATGTATATGACAGGCTAGTATGGCTATAGATTTGTATTCCACAATGTATTATTTATTACTACCATATTTATTCAATTTATTTCGACTTCAAATATTGGATTACAAACTTTTTTGTTGACCAGAAAAATAGGCATTTTGAAAACATGATTAATTTTTTAAGGAAAATAATTTTTAATAAAATAATGTTGGAATTAATGATATGCCTTCAGTATCACAGACTTGGCAAAAGAAATTTAATAACCACTAGGACATTTTTTGCAATTTTCTTTCATAGGGTTGCTCTTTGCTTTTATTGTCTGTTCATTAATATGCCATATCCGAGTTAGCGGAGATCTTTCAAGAAACAAAGTCAATAACAGTCTAGCCTAACAGAAATGAGGAATATTATAGGACTGGAACATTTAACTTCTTCATTATATTCATATGAACTGAAAGCATAATACTGAAAAAAAAAAAAAAAAAACACCGCTTAAATCACTTTGGTGAAGGTTCATATTCCTAACTAACTTTATCTCTAGCAGAATAAAAAAAACTGATTTTTTCTAACATCAAACAATAAAACTTTGACCATTTTATTAAATGTGAGAGAGTATCATTATTGCTGTCATATATCCACAACCTATCATTACTTTATAAATATGATATTCTTCATGCTGAAACAACACACTACTTTGACACAAATATTTACTGTTGAATATTTACCAACTGCCTGTTGCCAAATTCTACAATAGGAAGCCATAGAAGCAGATATTTATAAAGCTTAACCTAGTCCAGCACAAGACTACAATTGTGGGGAACCAAGTAAAACTCACTATCAACGGTTTGCATATAAGCATCCTATAATAAATGCACATACAGAAATATATAAGTATATATATTTTCCTTTTGTACAGAAATAATAATTTCATACACACTAACAAATATATGGGTCATTTAGCATTAAACTTTATTTCTATTTGGACTGACAAATACAGAGGAAGTACATCATTTTTTGTTTGTGGCTAAGATAGGATTCATTATAGCCCAGAATTTCATACTATAGAATGTGATTTTTAATTATTATCAATATTGATGTTAGGCATAAAACATAACTATCTTTTATGTTGACAAACATTAAGCATAAAATTTCATCATTTTAATTGAGCAAAGAAAATAATTTATTTTTCTAATGTTTCTATAAACTTAGTATATATGCAAATAATTTTACATCTATTGTATATGGGTTATGATATTACTCGCAGTATTTCTTTTAAGCAAAGAACATATCAGCATCACAGAAAATCAACAACAAAGAGCAGAGAAAATAATAATATCATGTTACAAGCTGGTAAATAATGGATATACAAGACTAATCTTTTGTCATTTCTATGATACATATACACAAAGTGGAAACATAGTTATAGATTTATATAGGATTTATTAAGCTTAGCTTCATTTAGCAAAGGGCCATAAGAGTTGTGCACTCAGTGAATACCAAACTCATTAACGATGCTAAAATTAATATACTAATCATCCCACTAGTGAAGGCACCCATCATAGAGTAAATGAATAATTATGACAAGCACATGAGGCAACATAACTTTCTAACTGCTGGAAACTATCTTTCAAGGAAGAAAGGAAATTAGAACAATGTTCACAGTAGAAATGTTGATTTGACTGAAAACTCACCTGCGTAATTCTCTTCAAGTACATCTCCTTTGACTCGGATCTGCACATTCAGACACCGACAACTCACCAGTAACATTTTCATAGCCTACCAAAATAAACAGAAATATTTTGAAACTGTCAACTGAAAAAAAATTCAAGGATATTATTTATGATACAATTTTTTTTTATTTTAAATATGAATTAAGTATATTTGGTTTTGTTAGCATTTAGTTAAAACCAAGTTTGCTTTGATATGAAATGATAAAGGAAACATGGAATGATAGCTACTAAATTTAGTATAGTACAAAAGAAAACAGAGTACATTGAATAAAATCTTTCAATTAAGAAAAGCCTGCATCCTTTAAAACTGTAGCTTTTTACCTTGATTCAAACACTGACCTATGATACTAAATGTGCAGACTGGTATTTTCTTTAGATAAGGAATAATTAAAAGCCTGAAATTTTCTCTTTATTTACTCATGTTCATGAAGGATGATTAATCATCTGAGTTTTTCAAATCAAAACATTGTCCATTTTTTAAAAATACCAGGCTGGATGCAATATAATTCATACTTTTTCTCAACAGCATCTGTGTAAAGTCAACACAACAGACTAGACTAGAATTTGAACTCAGCTCACCAATTCCACTTACTGTGCCTAACACTGTTGGGTTAACTGCAACCCCTTTCCCTAACAAACAGATGAGTTTTAAAAATATTCACAATTTGATATTGGTCCATCTTTAGAGTTTAAATCATTTTTATTAATATAAAAACCAAGGAATGCAATAAAAAATAGCTTATAGTAATATTTAAAGATTTATTAATGTTTCCTAACATGAACAATAATTATTTTAAAAAAATAATTGAAACGAGCAATTTTAATTGAGTCAAGAAAATACTCAATTCAGAAGTACAAACTCAACCAGCACTAGAAATTACCAAATTACATAGCCAGTGACAAAAATAATTATAAGGGACCTGAATGCAAAAGCAGGTAATAAAGTGATGAAATGGACACTAAGCATAGACTTGGATCATATAAACACAGAGAAAAATGGTTCATTAATGCAAAAAAAAAAAAAAAAAAAAAAAAAAAAAAAAAAAAAAAAAAAAGGTAAATTCTTTGAAGAACACCAAAGACACTTGTGAACATGGAAAAGTCTGGCAGGAAAAAAAAAAAAAAAAAGGTAAACTATATAACTGTTAACAAATGATTTATAAATACAATTTTGCACTCTGAAACATATATAAGTATTGACTGTGGAAGAGATCAGCTGTGAGTCATATGCATACAGAGAGTAAAATTACAAAACTTAAAGTCTAAAAGTATGCTTAAACTGCAATATGGCAAACTTCACTGACTCAATTTGCCAACAAACATTTGCAGTTAAGAACAAACATAAAACTTTGGCAGAGGTTAGGAATTCAAAGTGGAATAGCTAAAAAGAAACACAAATGACAACTGCAAAAATTCTCACTCTAATGAAACAAATACAGAAGATAATGTTCAGAAGTAGTGCAGAATATGATTATGATTCTAAATAAAAAAAACAAACAAAAAAACATTAGAAATAAATGCAAGCAAGCAAAAGAGGAATGAGAAATGTGCCGAGATCAAAAAACTACAGAACATATATGTAGCAAGCAGGCATAAAAATATATAAAATAAGAAGTAAAAAAGTAAGAAGAAAACATGCTCTTTGGCAGGTTGTATAAAATCTAAAGAGAGAACAATCATAATGGGAAAAGAAAACGTATTACAGAGAAGAAATAAATATACATCAGAAAGCTCTTCCAGGACAACAAATAGAAACCTATAATACATAAAAACATGAAAGGACTTGTACTTAAATACAAGGTGAGTTCAGCACTGGTTAAGGTGAAAAAATTAGCAAGACCAGATGAAATTGTAATAAATGGTGACAGCCTTAAACAATTTTGGAATTGATAAGGTTACTCAAGTGATAAATATACAACAGTGGTGAAATACTGGAATAGCCCTGTAGGCCAATCTTTGTAATGTTGCTAAAGAAATCAATGCGTACATATGTATAAGATAAGTAAACTAATAATTAGAATTAGTTTAATGACCGAAATAACCAATCATTAGGATTTGAATAAATAGAGCTCATAGCAAATTTATACTGAAAATAGAGCAAGAAAAGTTTGCCTTTGTTCAAGACACTAGAACAAAAAATGTGATTTTTATAATTAGAATATTATCAGAAAGATTAATACAAATGCAAAAAAAGACCTATATTTGTGTTTCATGGATTAAGCAAAGACATTTTTTTTTATTTCACCCTAAGCAAAGCAATAAAGTCACTGACACAAGGGCGTGAGAGACCCAAGTGTGAGAGAATATGAGGAAAAAAAAACAAAACAAAAAAAACACTATTAAGGAGAGAGAACAATAAAAGAACAGAAATTAAAAAGACAGAAGATAACGATTGACATTGCATTTAAATTTTTAAAGATCAAACTTGACTAGAAAGCAAGAAGCAGGGAGAGAGTTCCACAAGGAAGAAGTGCAAGAGAAGAAACTGTTAAAAGAACTTAGTTACATCTAGCCATTTCAACTGTAAAATGATGAGGCCTTGCCACCCATCTAGTACTTTGCTTAAATTAGGTATGTCCACTTTTTCACTAAAAAAAGTGGCATATCCTGATGAAAAAGGCCCCAAACTTAATAAAAACATACTTTTATCGCGAAAAAGTTTATGTTATTAAATAGAGGAGAGAGCAAAGCACTTTTTAATTATTTTTAAAAAATTTTTTATTCCTTTTTAGCATGTTTGAAATTTTGGTTGAAAAATCTTGTTTTTTTAGGTCAGAGGTCACCTAATATTTAACACCTTTTCAGTTGAAAACACATTAATGTGGGAATTATTGCAAAAATCAAATAACTCAGAATTTAATGAAACTTTCAGAACTTATTGAAAAATGAATGAATTTATTTTAGAAATGTTTGCTTTTTAGAAAGTCAGGGTAAAAATATTTATTTTTACATTTGTTACACCCCCCCCCACTTAATTTTATGAAAACTTTAAAACTAATAACTGTGAAACTGTAATTTTTTAATTAAATGAGGAATAATTTTGAGGAATATAAATCAATTTTGTGTAAAATTCTAGCCATAGCTTTAGCTCTGAATTTAAAATACAAAACTCAATAAAACTGAGACATTATTTAATTAAAAAAGCTTTTAATGGCTTTTATGAATAATACATATTAATGACATTTTTGTCTCAAGCCCAAATTTTTTTTAGTTGAAAAATGAATTTTTACAAGAATTGTTTTCTTTTTTTTTTTCAATTATAAATAAAAAGAAATGATAAAATTGATAATTGTTTTAAAATTAAATTTAAAACAGTAAAACTATGGAAATGATCTTATTAAAAAAGTTTTTACAGATCATAAATTAGAAAGCTTATTAAAATCTATTACATACAGCTATTTTTAAAATAGTTTTTTTTTTATTATGCCAAAAAATGTATTACAATCGTCTCCAACAAAACTATGGATGCACATTTCTGAAAAAAAATATTACGTGTTCTAGAGTTATTTCCCCTGACTGCATGATAGCATTTCGCTTAAAATTAGCACAAATTTTGTCACTTCTGTCTTACCATCTGATAAATTCCCCTGACATAAGTTGTCGATATGTTGACATATGTCAGTTCATACCTTCCAAAAACTCAATTACTATGGTTGGACATTTATTTCTCTCTTAAAAAATTTTCTGCAAAAAAAGTAAGTAATGTTTCTTTCAAATTACATTAAGTATACTTTAAATTTTCTAATTTTCCTAAAATAACTTCTGAAAAAAGTACAATTGAATTTGACAAGTTTTTTCAATGGGAAATTTGAATTTTGTTTATAAAACTGTCAATAATAGAAGACAATGATTGATTTTATGTCAATTTTGATAAATAAATAAAAAAAAACAGATTTTTAGCTAAGATTTCAGACATGTTAGAAAGGTTTTAAAATTTAAAAAAAAAATACTCAAAAAAATACTTTGGTCTTTTCTCTTAATAATGACAAACATTTAAACAATACAAAAAATTTTTAATCAAGTTTGGGGCTTTTTTCATTAGCAAATTTTTGGGTATTCCTAGCTTAAATTCATAAGTCTAGGTACCAAAGAGGAAAGTACATTAGGACAATATATCATGAAAGTATTTATGAAAATAGCACAGGGAAACTACATTAAAGCTGAAGCCGCAATTCCAGGTCAGAACCAATAAGATTGATTGAAGATTCTTCTTTGGATTTTATAAAGAAACTTTAAATACATAGCTGAAGCACCAGATCAGATGTGGCAGCAATATTCAAAGTATGGATGAATGGTAGGCTTATAAGTATGTAAGATAGATTCTGGGGAAAAAAATGGTCTAGCAGGATATCATGAACCAACTTCTCAAGCAGCAGACTTAACAATTGATTCAATATAATCTTTCCACTTCATGTCAGTAGAAAACTTTAGCCCAAGAAGTCACAATGAGTCATTCTAATGGAGATTAGCATCAGCCATGGTGATGAAAGACAAAACAGGTTTTCTAAAACAATTAAAATGAGTTGTTTCAATTTTGGTATCAGCTGCCAATTTGACCATATCAAACTGATTAGACTTACTATTAAAAAAAGGAGTAAATAGTTGTGACATCAGTATAGATGCCAAGTTGAGAACTGATGGTCATTGATAACTAGAAACAGCATAAGTTCAAGCATAGAGTAATGGGAGGACATTCACATTAATGCAAAAGGATGAAGAAGAGTGACTGTTCAAGACAAATTTCATTTTGGAATTTGATAATGACTGAAAATTCATCCAAAAATACCATAACTGTTCAATTTGTGAAGAAGACCAGCATGCCAACCCCTGTCAAATGCCCTTGAGATATCTAAAGCAACAGCCAGAACTTCAGTATTCTTAAAGCTTGATAAACTGCAATAACTGGTAATATATCAGTAGTTAACCTAGAAAAATGAAAGTCATATTGCTTATCTGAAAGAACACACTGCAAGGTGAGATGCTTAATCAATTCAGAGTTGATTAGAGCCTCTAGTATTTTGCCAAAATGAGGTAGAAGGCTAATAG